GCCCCTTGGCCAGCAGTTGGCTGTAGATGTCCTCCTTGGCTTTCAGCTGGCTGTACAGCTCCTACAAAGGAGGCACCACCAAAGCGTTAGACAAAAGGAAGAGCTCGGAGAGGGGCCGCAGCTCGCGGCGACGCAGGGTGGAGAGATGATGAGGTTCAGGGTGGGCAGCACAGCGACAGCGGCACGTCGCTTTGAGCAGAGGAAGGTGGTTCAAGCATCACGATGCTTGTCCCAGGCACCAAAAGCAAAATTCGGTAAGAGAGACCAGAGGAGCACTACTCTTCCCATCAGGTAGAGGAGCAAGAAGCTTCGATGCTGACATTTGACAGACAGGAGCCCGCTGAATTCAAAGTATTTAAAATCTCTCCTAAGAAATTACCATGTGGGCATTGAGCTGTTCCCGGGCAGTTTCTGGCAGACCTCCTGTGGGTTTTGATGCCGACAATTGGCTCTCCATCCTCGTTAGCCACAGGAGGAAATCTTCAATCTCACCATGGAAACCCTGGGCCTGTTCGGGAACATATAATGGGCCCCGGATCAGATGACATCAGTCACCATTGATCGTGTGCCAGGGTTAACGCTGCGTTTGCTTCAAAAACCAGATAAAGAGGCAGAGCCGGACGCAGCAGCGCGTTAAGGAAGGTCACACATGGTACCTCCTTAGGCACACGGGTGGGCCTGGTCCCCGCCGTGCCCCTGGGCAGGCACCGAACCACTCTGGGACAAAGAGTTAAATGAAAAACTGGCACAAAAAAAAATCCCAGCGTGTCTCTCTAACTCCTTCCCCCTTCATCTCCCCCCAAGGCACAGGGGCGAGCAGACCCTCCGCAGCTCCCCGTGGCACAGGTAGGGTACCCCCACGCTTCTCCCCGACCTGCTGGAGCGTGGACTGCAGCTGCTGCCCCCTTTCCTCCGTCTTCTGCAGCACCGACTCCCAGCACGAGTTCAGCTTCTCCAGGCGGCTGCGCAGGCTGCTGGCGTCGTCCCCCGCGCTCGACTCCAGCAGCTCATTGCCCGCTTTGTTCACGGTCTCCACGGTCGCTTGGTGGGCCAGGACGTCGTTCTTCAGCACCTACACGAGATGTGGTGGGCAAACGTTGGGGACCTCTCTAGAGCACCTCGTTAATTCCTGCCTGCTCTCAGGGACTTGAACCAACTCAAACCCTTCGTGGGAAATAAAATCCTGCAACCGGAATACGCGAAACACGGAGCGGGAGTACTCACGTGGTGCTTCGCGAGCTCAACCTCGATGACTTTTGGGTCTCCGTTGATGGGTTTTTGAGCGTCGAGCAGCTCCTCGGTGTGGGTCAGCCAGGCCATCAGCTCCGCCAACGCGTGCTGGAACTGGCCGAGCGCCAGGAGAGCGGCTTCTAACTTATGCTGCACAAGGACAGGGATGGAAACAGGAAAGTTTAAGTCGGGAAGGAGGGGGAGCATCCCAGCGAGTTTCAACCCCACACTTGCCCAGATCTTCTCTCTACCTGTCTGTGAGCAATCTTCTCGCCCAAATTCTCCCAGAGATGTTTCAGCTCTGTCAGTGGTTCCTTTATGATGTCTCTGTCTGTCTCATCTGTAGCTTTTTTAAGCATCAGTTCACCTTGGTGATTAAGCTTTTCCATCTCAATCTGCTGCTGGTAAACCTCCATTTTAAACTCCTGCCAAAACAAGCGGGACAAAAACCAGGATGAATCACTGGAGCTCCAGCCCTGTGAGGCAACACGAGCGCTGAAGGAGGGGTCCCGCTCCGCCAATGTACCTTCATCTCGTTCATTTGCTCCTTGACTGTGTTGAGGTCGGTGCCGACGGGTGACATGTTGCAGAGTTTGATGACAGCGTTGTCCAACCAGTCGAACATGGCCTGAAACGAGCACAGACACCGTTAGCGACGGCAGCGTTCTGCTGGTGGCCGGCCGGGGAAGCAGGGCAGGTGTCTCCAGCTCCCCATCACCACGAAACTTTGCCGAGCGGCATCTCTGCCCTAAAAGACAGTGCCCGCTTCTGCAAGCTCCTTCCTCCCCGCTCCTTCCTCCCCGCTCCTTCTCCCAGCAGAAGGACCTAAGGGTAGCGAAGCTCATCCTGCTGATTCGCGCAGAAACCAAGAAGGGTTTGGGAAAACAAACGCTTTTGGTTGGAACTAGATGATCTTTGAGGTCCCTTCCAACTCTCTAACCGTTCGAATCAAATATCTGCTCTTCTGTGGAGCTGGTTGTTGAGCTCAGGCTCTATCAGAGGCTGCAAACGCTCAGCCAGGAGATGCTTTCCGCTTTGCATTAGTGCAAACCCCAGTACAACACCAGGAAGAGGGTCTGCAGTGGTGTTGCCAAGGTCTACCCACTCCACGCAAACAGCCCTGCTTCTTACTTGCAGCGTATCTTGGTATTGCACAGCCGACTGCATGGCTTCTTCCAGCTTTTCAAGTCTTTCCTTCCACGTTTTGTTCAGGTTTTCCCACGCGTTGTTCATCTGCGGAACACAAGATTGCCCACAAAATTCGTTAAGCTTTTCCGCCGGAGCTCCCACTCGCTCCTACCTGATTTTATCTGAAGGAGAGGCTGCTGCTTCTCCTACCTCATCAATGCTCTTCTTCACTTCTGGTTTCTCAGTTTCGCCACAGGCAAAAATTAAATCAGTTCCAAGGAGGCGGATGAACTCCAGCTCTTCGTGCAACCCATCCGTCTCCTCTTTAATGGTCTGCATGTGACACAGCGACAGAAGAAAAACGTGTTATTATTAAAGGCTCTTCCAAAATCGTCCTATGAACCAGTGGGAGAGTCCTTCTGCTCCGGTGCCTCACACCCTGGCCGACAGGACTGGGTTCCAGAGGGAGCAGGTGGCCGTCCTGCTCACTAGCACGGCCACCACTGACTCGCTCTGCTCCCACCTCTGACTTGGGGAAAGGAAAATAAGAACATCTGCATTTAGCCCAACATGTGTCCGAACCACCCGCCTGAAGATGCTGTTTACAAGAGCTGCACTGTTTACAGGAATATTTTGTCAATATAGGAATTAGTTTTTGAGGCTCCAAAGTCGCAAACCAAAGCTGGAACAGTTACAAAAAGGAAAGAGCAAGGACTAACTTAGCAAAGCATCAGGAAACATCCCTGCTCCCCAAGGTCCAAGTCAATCCACCTGAAGTGGATTTCACCGCTTATGTGAAACAACCAACACCGCACAAATCCGACCCCGGCCTGCTTTACACTTATCTCCGCTCTAACCAAACTCCAAACATGCGCTTCCCACGCTGGACACGGCTCAGCTCCTCCGACTGCGGCTGGGAGCAGAGCCCTGCAGCCTTCACATCACTCAAAAGGAGTGGGCACACAACGCTGACCACGTGCTTGGTGAGTTTCCCAAACCAGGAGCAGATCCACCTCTGGCCATGGTCAAATCTGAGATCTGTCCCAGTTCAGCTTACAAGCTGGGTGCAAAGCTCCTTACACGGTACCGTCCCCTGGTCCTCACCTCTGCTGCCTCCACCTGCTGCTTGATGATGGAGGGGTCAATGCCTGGGCTCTCCAGGTCGTGAACAATGTCCTGCGTGTCTTTGATGGTCGTCAGGAGGGCTGCCATGTCGTACCAGAACTTCTCTGCAAGCTCCAAGACATCAAGGAACTTCATTTCACGTTCCTCAGCCCGAGCTTTGATGTCTTCCCAGAAGAAGACCATCTGATCCAACTTATCCTGAATTACTGAGAAAAGGAATGAAAACATTTATTGAAGAAGGAAACGTTTTTACAACTCAAAAGCATTCTGCAAACACTTTCCACTTAGAAACAGTCAACAATTATTCAAATGGGAATTAAAGATGACCAGGACTATCAGAGCATTAACTTTGAGAGATACTGGGGAACATGAGAAACTCCAGCTTGCAGAAGTAAAGCCTTTATTTATGTGCAGGCAAGCTCAGGGCAAATTTCCCCACACACTCTCCTCCAATGAACCTCTGTTCTGGCCACCTCTAGCGTGAAGTCTACTTTCACCCAGTCCATGAGCTGGCTGTTGAGCTGCCAAGAAAGGTGCCAATTAGTGTCAATTGCGTTGACAGGTCTTTTTGTGCTGAGGATGTTCCTTCCCTCCATTAGATGCTGAATCGACACCAATAAATCATTTCACAGGGGCCACCAACAGTTGCCACAAGAGACCAGCTCAGGGTGAGGGCTCAGCTTGGCTGAGCTGAAACCTCTGTCTGATGTTAGCCACAAATACTTCTTTATCCTCTGGCTGATGCCACCCTGGCTGCTCCAGATGGAAGCAAGCACCAGGGATCTTCATACAGAGGAAGCATCTTTCCTCCTAAGGCCAGGAGACCCTCTGAAACAAATGCCCAGGACATCAAAGCCTCCTCAACCGTGATGGAGCCATGGTTTGGGTAGGAGAAGCTGGGCAGTGCTACCAGCCCAGCCAGCACCTCCTCTTAAATCCACCCCCGGCGATACCTTTTGCTGCCAGGTCCTTGTCCGTTCCCTGCGACCGGCCGATCAGCTCCTCCCCGCGGCGTTTCAGAGCCTCGAAGGAAGGCTGCAGCTTCTCCAGCTCCACGCTGGCGTTTTTGTTCTCGCTGATGCACTCCCGGATCTTATCGACCTCGGCGGGGATGAGGGGCGGCACGCGCAGGCGGGAGGATAAGGTCTCC